ACTCCCAGAAAGGCCTAAATGTGGAAGAAATCAGGACTTGGAAGTACAAAGACATTGGCAGAGCCAGAACCACAAGTCATTAACTTTTGTCAGTATGCTACAGTGCTCTCTTGTTATTTTTAAGTCTGAGGTAGACATTGTCTGATTGAATCTCAGCTTGCCTAGTGAAGTTATGGAATAAGAAACTTAGTTCTAGGTGAGAGTCAGTGTATTTACTGAAACATTTCATTTTTATAGATTTCCCAAGATGTGAGAAAATGAAACTCAACAAGAAACAAAATATACCCAATAGCAGTTGAATTCAGACAAAGCCTTGGTACTTAATTTGCATGTGGATTAGAAGATCCTTAAGACTTTATTTGGTTTTCCATGGAGACTCTTAAAGTAGACTTCTGAAGCAATGTGGGTTATAGATTAGTGGAGCTGATGCAGATAGGGCCACATTATCTTTTTGTTCTCCTGATTCTTAATTAGTGGCTTTTATAACCCATCCAGAACTATTGTTAGGTTTCTTTGAATCCTAGAGGCTTACTTTAAAAATACTCGTAATATTGTCTGCTTTGTAAAATAATGCTGAGCTATTACTGTTGTTCTAATATCACAATAAACATAAAATTTTTAATTCCACACATTTTCTACTGGGTAGAATCCTCATATGTGATTTCTGAGAGAGGAAAGAGAGCTGTTGGTTTACTTCTTCACAACAATAGGCAGTCTTAAGGGATAGAGCCCAATTCTGGTATTTTGAGATGATGGCAGAATTAATTCATGAGCATATGGCAATGATGGAAAAACAAATGTAAATAATGGAGGACACTGGATTCTTACTCTATGGCTTTGTGGAAAGCTGGTAATACTGGAAGAGATAGGGAAATAAAAACAGTTATTATATATTTCCTAAGGTAAGTGAACATACTACTGTAAATATATGTAGTTTTCTATACATACAGAGAGAGGTTGAGATTCTTCTGGAATTGTGTTTCTAGACTATGCATCTATGCCTTGGTCTTATCAGTTTTATACCTGCTGCTTTACATTTTCATTGCTTTTGGAACTTCCTTGGTATATAGGCAGAAATGAAAAGAAGAGGTGAACATGTAGGCAGCTGAGTTCCTTTTTATCAGTTCTTTTTTTAAGAAAAAGTTTGGTATTTCACTATTTAAATAGTACCCTGTACAAATCAGCAGTTGTCTGTGGATTCTAATCACCCAGAGCCCCAGCTGAATGTTAGGGTCAAGACTGTTTGAGAAATGGTTTATCTCTGTCTCCTTCACCCAACACAATTCATTTCTTGTTGTATAGTTATTTGTGTCTTAGGGGTTTGTAAGCTCCCTGACATATGCATAAAAGGTATGTCGCTATGTGTACTTTACTGAGAATGCATAGTCTACACCCCATACTAAAATAATCATAACAATATCCTTTTGAAAAATTAGTATCTCAAACCAAGTTGAAGACCATTAGAAAAGAGACTTTGTATGCCTTTTTAGATGTTAGGCAACCAAACATTGAGAACTTTATGTCTTACTGATGTGAATTTCCCCCTAGCATTTGGCAGTCACCCCTTTCATAAACACTGCTGCACAGATGAATTTTAGAATTGTACAAAGTTGGGCCTCGTTCTTTGGATCAGTATCCCATTAGGAACTGGGGTTCCACACCGACCTCCTTCAGGCAAAAGACATTTGGTTAACAGAACCACAACCATTGCTTTCACCAATTCCTTTAGTCTCCTTTCCCACTCAAACTTTTACCAACTCTTTAACAAGCAGGACAGAATTGATGGATTCAAATTATCTTCAAGGAATCCCTGAGTAAAAGGAAAGAATGAAAATGTTTCTCCCAAGTTATGAGCAAGAGTAGTTACCCAAAGAAGTGAAATCATCTATAATTTAACTTTAAAATTTTTTTTAATGTTTACTTTTGAGACAGAGCGAGAGAGAGAGACAGAGCATGAGTGGGGGAGGGACAGAGAGAGGGGGAGACACAGAATCGGGAGCAGACTCCAGGCTTCGAGCTGTCAGCATAGAGCGCAATACAGGGCGCAAACCCACAAACCACGAAATCATGATCTGAGCTAAAGTCAGACTCTTAACCAGCTAAGTCACCCAGGCACTCTATAGTCTAATGTTTTTATAGAGGTCACTTCTAATAGTGATTTCCACAGTAAAAAAGAAGTTATTAATCCAAAAACTTATGAATTCAGAAAAGAATACAGGGTCTCTGTGATGAAGATGTAACTCTTGTCCATAAAGAGTAATCTGAATGAAAAATAAATACATATAGAATATTAAGCAGCTAATATTTCCTTGGTGGGAAATGGGGGGAAAAAACACTATGATAGCATTCCCACATTGTTCAGCTTCCCTGAGAATCAGAACCCGGCGTGAATAGAGTGGAATAGAACATCAGGAACACATTATCTAAAGGCCCCTCAAAATGTATCTCACCAACCACTAGATAAAATCACCCCACTAGGTATTATTTTAAAAAGTAACCAAGCAATATTAGCAAAGATAATCAAAGTATAATTACAGTGTTACCAATCTCTTTTCATTAAAACACAAAATATTTTATGTAATGATAATTGTGTTTTCACTTTGTGGAGCAGTGTATGTTTAAGTGGATTATAATGGCTACAGAGAAAATACCTACTATTTAACATGAGATTTAATCCGTCCATCCCATTAATGAAAATACCATCAGTAATTAATTAGATAGGAAATATAAACAATAAAAGTCAAGAGGATTTTGCTTAGAAATGCCAACACGAAATAGCCACCTTATGACTTCAGCATTCTCTGTTCTTTGTGTGTGTGTATGTGTTTTAGGAATGACGCTTTTTTTTTTTTTTAAGCTGTGTTAGCCATTACAGAACTAGTGGTCGTTTCAGTGGGTCTAGGATCCAAGGGCAGGAGGCCAGACCATGTTGTGAGAGGCCCCAACACTCTGGGCATGAATGCATCACCCTCAGACTCCTCAGGCAGCCACTGAGTTCGCAGCACCATTTTAATCCAAATGCTCCTGTGGTTTCTGCAGTTCCTGAGGCTTCTTGGTTGCAGCTATAGTTCTCAACTCTTGCTGTGCATCAGAATCACTGAGGGAGCTTTAAAAATATATATGGATATTTGGGTCCTGTGTCCACAGATTTCTGATTGACTCAGTCTGTGGCAGGACCCAAATGAAGGGGTTTCTGACAGGTGTCAGGAGGTTCCAGTGTGCAATAAAGGGCTGAAGGTCACCTGTGTAGATGTGTCACTAGCCTAACTTTACAGATCCCAAGTGTAGGAGTTAGGGAGTATCTTCAGGAGCTATGAGAACACCGCACTGTAAATATATCAAATGGTGTCAAAATAGTCTGAGTTTACCTTCTTTGTATCTGAGGTCTCTAAATCCAGCAGGGACATAGGATATTATCAAAAAGAGTCTCATCAAGAATCTGACTCTCTGGACTGCCAGGAAGTGCTTGACCACATAGAAACTGTCACGGAGTCTGATCCCAACAGATGTCCTTATAAAGCACCTGTTGAAGTGAACTCTGCCCTTTAAATGGGAGGGAGTTGTAATTTTCCAGAAGTAGTGGGCCCACTGGAATGCTAGACATGCCCATTTGCTGCTTATGTCCATTTTAGTAAACCATCCCTTGAACTGTGAAGTGGATCTCCTGGTTGTGTAGATAATGAGAGAAGTCTACAGATGCTGTCAGGACTGGCCAGCGGCATGGTCTATGGGGTTTATTAGAGGGAAGTGAGTTCGCGTAACCAGACAGTCATGAGAAACAGGTTGTCTTGAGAGTCTGTCAAGAATTGTTCAAATCTGGGACTGTGGTTGTAGATTGGAGAACATGAATGTGTCACCTAGAAACGTTCCTCCCAAGCGGAGAGTCTAATGCGTGTTCGATTACAAAGGAATAGCTAAAGTGTTACATGGCTTAATGCCAAATATGTCTTTGGGGGGCTGTATCCAAAAACTGACAGAAACGAGCAGTGTCCGTGTCATCATCTCAAAGGTATATCATCATGTCTATCTATAGCATGGGCCGAATCATAGCATGGGCCGAATCAGGTACCGCCTGGCCGAAGGTCACGGGTTATGCATAGCTATGCAAATACTTGATTTCTGAGACAGCTGAATTAGTCCCTGACCTGACATCAGTGAGACATTAGTGACATTACTCTTATGCCTTCCTGCCCTTTCTAAAAATAGTAGGGCCTTTAACAAGATATTTTGAGCGTCTCATCAGGGGAAGCTTATTCTGGCCATTCACGTGGGTCAGATCTGCTCGGGGCACAGACTTTGGGAGCACAGCCCTCGCTTCTCCTCTCATATAAGGAACTAGGAAAGATAAAGGCACTGGGGAGTCCCCGGCTGAGAGGCCGTGGCGACACATAAACGGAGGAGGATACTGTTTAGGAATGGGAATGTGCTTCCGAAACCCTCCATTTCAGACCTTGGCACCCCCGTCCTCAGCATTCCGGATCTGTTTTCCTAAACCCTGGCTGTGATGTCGCTCCAGAGACCTGGGTGATCTGGCCGCTTTCAGTAAATACTTGCAGGAGCCCCTGGCAGCCTGTGGACAAAGGCACCTAATGAGAAACTGCCATCCCGCAGCGGGAGGGCCAAAACAGAACCCAGCAAAACAAAAAATCCCAAAGCAGAGCCCAAACCAAACCACCCCACCCATCTGTGCTCACAGGAAGACGCGCAGGAAAGCGCTGCGATGTGACTCTGAGCCGTAACTGGACTGACCAGTCACATGACAGGCAGGCACCGGGTAACTGGTCTCCTTCTCCTCTGCCCAGCAAGTTCAGGTCTTGATTATTCTGCCCAACTGGGACCAGAAAACTTAACGATGGTGAGGACACCCAGACTCTGAGGGCAGAGATGGATTCTGAACAGGTAAACCCTGTGCCAGCGTCCTGTCCTCCCGGGGCGGTCGTGTGCGGTTCTCGCGTTTGCGCCTCTAAGAAATTTCCGTTTTTTCGCATCAAAAAATCCAGATATGAAGCCGAAGCTGCTTTCTTCGCCAACCTGAAGCTGTCTGACTTCAACATCATCGACACCCTTGGAGTCGGGGGCTTCGGACGAGTGGAGCTGGTAGGTGACTCTTCTTTACATGCTCCTGGGAGCCCCTATCCCTCCTGGGTCTGTCCCCCTCTATTAAGATTGGTCTTTGCTCTGCTTTCTCCTCATTCATTATGGTTGTTCTCGAATCACGGCCAAATGCGTTGACGTCAGCACATCCGAGGGTGCAGCGGTTAAAGTGAGCTGCATGCGATGTAGCCATAAACTAGCAATGAAGTCGACAACCCACTCTTTTAGCAAAACCTGTTCCTAGGAAATGAGAGCTAAACACGTTGACGTAAGAGGAGCCATAAAGCACTTTTTACCCAGCTGATATTCTGTGACCTCTACTTCCTTAGTTCTGAGTGGGGCTCACCGACTGAGTCATGTGCCCTACCGACAACCTCAGTGAGTGTGTAAATTTAAATATAGAGGAAAATGGAATATATACATATATATGTGTTATGTGTATGTATATATATGTAATATATGATACATGCATGCATGTTTGACTTCCTTTATGTATATTTAAATTTATATTGTAATTATTGTAGATAGGGTGCATGATTGAGTGAGCAGTGCTCAGAACTAAGGAAGGAAATAAATGAGTAAAATCTATCGATCATCTATCTACTTAATTGAAGGTCTTTACCACTGCTTTAAGACTTTAAAAATCACGTAAATAATGTAGTCATTCTGCGATTCTGTATTTGCAAGCACCTAGTTAGATTATAGTGATGATGTTTTATATAATCAGATAACACGGTTTGAATATTTCACACCCATGTATGTCCTACAGGTAAGCGTTAGGATGATAAAGACATGTTGGTGCAAGTGTATTCATTAAACACATTGCATGAATGTGATGTGAACCGAATGGAAAGCGTATTCTGTTGTGCCTTTGAAATACACATTTAAGAACTGGCATATTCCAACATAAACCAGAAAAAAAAAACAAAAAACAAAAAACAGTATTCTGGTGAGTGCGTGAGTTGGTGCATTCCAAGCCTACATGGATATAAAGCCTGTTTGGGAAGGCAGATTACTTTTCACGGCTCTGCTGAACGAGGAGGAACCCCTGACACCAGTCGCCAGTACAGTATGTTAGGAACTCCCCGTACAGTGTGGTAAACAGTCCCTGTTGCCATCAGGGGACTAGAATCCCCTTCCATAAAAGTACACTGACCTAGCGCTGTCTCTGGCATTTGTCCCTTTGCGCTGCAGTTGAGATTTCTGGCTTTGACAGGCGGGAAAAATGTTATTTACTTAAACATTAGACAAGGTAACTTTCGAGCCATAAAGTGTTTCATTGAACTTGCCTTATGCTTCCATTAGCACTGGTTGGAGGTACCACAGTTATACGCTTCTGACTTGACTGTTGATTCATGGTGCGATTTTAGGTTACAAGAATACAAACTAAGGGCCTAGCAACACTTGTTTTTTCTGAATTCTGCCGGTTAACGCAGTCATAGATTTCTTTTTCAGGAACTTCAATTTTGCGACAAAATATAACCATTCATAGAACTAGTGAAGCTTTGTTACTGGTGTTCTCTTTTACTGGGGATGTTGAGACATGTAAACAGATCAGGGGGTAGAGCTCCCTGCCAGGAAGAGCTTATGGTCTGGTGTGTTTATTTACCAAGGTGTGCAGGTCTCAGTCCCTTTCTAAATGAGGCACTAAAAAGGATAGGACTCCCTAGAGTTCGATTTTCTGACTTGTTCTTAAATACAGTTTTTCAAAGACTGCAGACCATCAAATTATTGTTTTAGTTGACCAAGAAAATTTACATTATAAATTTGTGAACTCTCGGAAGTCTGAGAATGTCAAGTTGGGACCTTTAAGTTACCAGTAAGATATTTTAGGAAATAAAGGAGTTTACTTAGGATTTTTGAAATACTGAAAAAATTGTTCATAGACACTGAAACCACTTTAAGCTGGTTTTTAATTTAAGCAATTAAATGCCAAGCTGACAGTAGAAAACCTCTAGAAAGCTCCCTCACCAATGTTTGAGGAAGCACAACTAACCAGAAAATTAGGGAAGGTGTACACACACACACACACACACACACACACACACACACACACTCTCTGCATCCCAGGAGAGACAGGTGTAGTTCATCCTAATTTTCTTCTCATAGATAATTATATTTTACTCCTTTACACAGATGTTTATAGACTAATGAAAACCATAACCTCAGGAATTCATTTTAGTTGGAGCCCATTTATAAAAATGTTAGATATGCCCGTAAACAGTAAACCCATAACAGGCCCCTTTTCACAACCACGGACATCAGAAAAGAGGCACATGTTTTTAACCTCTGAAATGACCTGATCATCTTGGGTGATTTTGTATCCCCCACCCCACAAATACCGTGTGAACATCTGAATACCCAGACTGCCTTGTCTATTCAGTGTGAACTAGTCATTCAGGCAATCGCTATTTCCCTACGATCTGCTGCCTACTCACCGCCTGGTAATATTAGCTACTGGGTATGGAAAATAGTCTTCTCTGGGATTGTTCATTTTGTACATGTATTCGGCGAAGCCAGAATTAGGAGTTTGGCCTCAATGCTTTGACTGTAATTACACACACTGTTGTCATAGCGTGTGATGAATCACTGTGAACACTGGCTCAGGAGACAGTAGTGAATCTTTAGAGCTGTACCCACACCATTCACAGTTAGGAGGAGAAGGCAAGGCCCAGTCCTGTTGGGATTATAGAACTGTTCACTCCCTCCTGAGAATGACGTCTGCAGGAAAATGTTATCAGTATTACAGAGCGGTATGTGTAAGCAGTACTGCCTTCAGATGGATTGATTTCACATATGTATATTCACAGGACTGTACCAAGTAAGTAAAGTGGATATCTTGAACCCACCAGTCCTTAGTTCTGCGATGATGTTGATCAGGTAAACAACAAGATAAAAAATATACCACATTACACTTTAATTTCATAATAATATCTAAAATTTTTTCCCAGGAATAGATTATAAAACTAGAAACTCTTAAACTGAGTATAAAGAATTAAATTTGAATTTTTGAACCCCATTTCCTGGTATAACTAAGGAGTTTTCTTATTTGAAACACAGATTAGGTTCGTGTTATTTTGCATAATGACACACTCTTCAAAGCCGTCTTAGCATTTCTTAATTTTTATTATTTATATCAACTTAGATGAATTTAAATGCAGGAGGAGATTTCAGGCAGGAGAACTGCTAAATAGTTTATTGCCAACTTTTGTAGAGCAGAGCATGATTTCGGCGCCTAACAGAAACTCGAGTATTTGCTCAGTGATGAGGCCAGAAGCTTGAAGAAATTAGTCTTATGTGAATGAGAATTCTGCTCTAAAGCTATTAAATCCTTTTCGCAAATACCTTTAGCATAACCGATTTTAATGAGTTGAATATCAGACGTGTCCCGTTGCTAGCTATTCCCTTTGGGAAGTCATCCATTCTGCTTTCCTTTCGGTTATAGGTCAAAAAACATATTTCCTCACCAATTTATTTTTATTTTGAAGAACGGGCTTTCTCGTTTGTTCAGCGCTGCCTGTTTATCTTCCAGAAGACCACATTCTGTTTATAAGTTCTTTGAGCAAAAGACCCCCTGCTTTTTTATAGATGATTTACTCATTAAAGCAGAAGATACCTTGGTAATCCTCTTAATTTACAAGGTATGACTGCAAAATGAGGAGAATGCTTTCACAACCACAGATGAAAATTAGTCCCATTGCTCTATGGTCACGTTCCTATTTACTCTACTTTTCCTCTTGTCAGAGGAGGTGCTGGCTTTTCAGAAGAGATTTGCACCAGTGGGACTTTGTAACCTGGCAGTGCAGATGTGTTTGCTTTGTATAGCAGGTATTTAATCTTTGCAGCAATCCAGTGCCTCTAGAAGTGGATAAAATACAGGGACACAGACATGGAAGACATAATCTCTGTCTTCTTAGATTGTTTTCTGTCTGTGTCTCTTATTCCATATTTATGCAGCAAGTTGTCTGCTGAGACATACAAAGTCTGAAGTAAAATAGCCGTTGCCTCTAGGGACTCTGTTTACTGGAAAGGACAGTCATGGGAACGAATAAATAATCCAGTAACCAAAGTATGAGCAGCCTGTGGTCGGTGCTCAGGAGAGCAAGACATCTTGGAGGCTGTGGTGTTTGCAAGACAGGAGAGTTAGGGGATCTACATAAAGAACCCAAAGCTTTACAGTCCACGCCTATAAAATGCAACAAGTACACGGTCGTTTGTCAACAAACTGATGTTTAAAATGTTTCTTAATGGATGTTACTTCCTTACTAAAAGAATCAAGCCTCTCATCTGAACACTGCTTTCTGATCTTCAAATTGGTCCACATTCAGTATATAATTTTACCTTTATGAGGCGTGATCCGCTTTTACTAGAAGGAAGTCAGGATCAATGCATAGAAGGAGCCTAAAACCCTACAGTCAGTAAAAGGGCTGCTCTGATTGCCTAGAACTACTGATCCAGTTTTTAACTTGAAGCTTTTTCTATAATTCTGGCTTCTCAAAATATTTAGATTCCTATCACACCAACAGCAGCCACCACGATGAAATTGAACCAGTGTTGTCACATGTGCACCTTTGTTTTAAAAATAAAAAAAGAATTCTTCTAGAATTGCAGAACCCGTAATAGACATAAACATAGAATAAATGCTGTGATCATCCACTGTTCACATCAGCTTCTGTCAAACCTTCAGAGGCTCTTTCTTCTCTGAATCTTTTGCTGTTCTTACTTCAGTGGTTAAAATGCCTCTGGAGAAACAAACAAAAAATCAGACATTATAATATAGTAGCTCAGCACTAGAACTCTGGAATCAGACCCTCTGGATTCAGATTTTAGCAGCTGTGTACATTCAGTCATTTCCTCTGGAGTCCCTAACTCCTAAGCCTCAGTTTCTCCATCTCCAGAATGAGGATGATAGTAGGATATGACCCACACAAGGTCACAAACATTAAATGAGTTAAAGCCCCCAAATAGTATCTCACATCATAGGTCAGTAAGTGTTGTGATGT